CCCCCCCCCCCCCGTGATCTCGTTTGTTGGCTGTCCAAGAGTTTGCAACTATATAGACAATTGTTCAGTTAAGACCAATTTTAAACAATTTTTAACTTAAGAAATTACCAATCAAGAACCTTCCCAAAGGGAAGATGTTCTTTGCATTTCGTTACCTGGTGTGATATTTTGCGTTGTAGAGAATGATAAAAAGTTCATGTAAGATTCCTTCCCAGGCATGATACTGCCCCCTCCCTTGAGAGTCGTATTTGTCCTCTCCAAGGTTCTACTCCCGTTGTAATAAACGTGATCAACAGGCAAGGTACCCAGTCCACTCGAAACATTCTACCACTACCACTACCACTACCACTACCACTACCACTACCACTACCACTACCACTACCACCACTACCACTACCACTACCACTACCACTACCACTACTACTACTACTACTACTACTACTACTACTCTTACTGCTGCTGCTGCTGCTACTACTACTACTTCGCTGCATTAATTTCAGCGAATCGCGTGCGTGTATGTGCAGAAGAGAACTTTAAGCTCGTTAAACATGTAGATCTGGCCCCGCCCCCCTCCACCCCAGCCCTCTGTGAATCTCGTTTGTTGGCTGTCCGAGCATTTGCAACTATGTAGACAATTGTTCAGTGAAGACCAATCAAGAATTTTAACAAAAGGAAGATTTTCTTTACATTTGATTATATGCCTTACCTGGCGTGATATTTTGCGTTGTAGAGAATGATAAAAAGTTCCTGTAAGATTCCTTCCCAGGCATGATACTGTCCCCTCCCTTGAAAATCGTATTTGTTCTCTCCAAGGTTCTACTCCCGTTGTAATAAACGTGATCAACAGGCAAGGTACCCAGTCCACTCGAAACATTGGTCGGTAAGCAGTGTGGAAGGTGCTCTTTCTCAAGGTACTCAAAGAGATCAGTCAAAGGTGATCCGACATTCTTAATAACACTGTCCTCGACAAGGGCGGTCGCATTCATTCCATGTCTTTCCAATATCTTCGCTAATTCGTCTGAGCTTATTTTGGAGAGGAAGGAAGAAATTGAATTGGTAAACGCCGTTATGATTCCTCGGCCTGATTTCTGGGACGTGATTTCGACATACGTATCCCCCAAGCACTGTTTCCCCTCTTTGCACACGGTTACGGACCCTACCATACCAGCTCTGATCCCGCTTTTCAAGTTTTCCTTGAACTGGTTTATCCCGATTTTGAACCTGCCCAAAAAGACCAAATTGTCTTCCAGCTCCGACGCTGTTTGGGGGCGGAAAAGAAGAAGCATTGTTGCAAGCTGGGCTTTAATTGATGTGATGCCCTTGAAAGTCCTTGTACAGTATCTTCCAGGTCCCAACATCCAGTAGCCTAAAAGAATCGTGGAGAAAATATCAAACGACCATCGAAATTAGTATTTTTGCAGTTTCTCTTCCCGACTGAGGACAGGAGATTCAAAATTTAGCCTGAGTTTTATCTATTAAGGGGTAGGGGGGATATTGACGCACAAAATTTAAATAACTGCCATCGGAGTTACGTATATGGTGGTTTTCAACTGTGTGTTGTAAGGCAAACGCAGAGTGATGCTTCAAGCAAAATCAAAAAGGACACAGACAATCTACTTAACCAATCAGACGTTGGAGCAAATACATGTAGCTGACGTGAAGCACGGGAAAACGTGTGAAAGCGAGTCACCATTGGTTTTACCACTGACATTATTGTTACGTAGTTGCCTTAATTTTCTAAATTTCACTGACAAGATTCATCAGGATCTCGTATCTTTACATTTTCCGTTGGGCCTGGCAAAGATTTAAAGCGATCCAAAATCATGATCAGTTTCTTCTATCATATTCGAATTGGATGCTAATGGGCTGAAAGTCTCACACCACCTCCTCCACCTGCTCCAATCCCTTTCTCCTTCCCTCTCGCCCCCCAAAATCTAAGAAAGTAAATGTGTTTTTATTTGCCTGGAAACATTAAAAGATATCCCATGAACTTTAATTCTTCATGCATGGAGATAGAATTATTATTCCCGAGGCTTTTAAAACCTTTGAAATCTAAATCCAAGTCTCGAGGAGCTAACTACTCTACCATCACGTTTTCCATATCGTGCATTTTCCCTTTACATTTTGTAGGTCCCTTTGCACTAAATTAAGCCTTACCGGATAAATAATTGTTTTCGTAAGGCCGCCCGAAGTAGTGCCTCAAAAAATGATCCGCTTGGGCGATCATGCTCCGTTCACGTGATAAAAGAAGCTTCCTGTTGATGTCCATTTGATTGAGTTCCTTCAGCAATGACTGCGATCGGTCAGATATGGCTTTGATACTCTCCGGGGTGGGGTTATACGGCTGAAATAGCTTCCTACTTTCCTCAAGAGGGACCCCTGTCATACGACCAGCAATGTAGGGATGAAGCTCGTAGTACGAGCTGTCGACTTTCTTGAAAAACTGTGGAAGACCTAACGAAAGGCCAACTGAAGTTATGTCACATAAAAATACAATAAAAACCTACTTGTAACAAAATAGATATTTCCAGGTTAGCCTAAAAGATATTCAGCTTACGTTTCATGGGTTTCATATATATACAATATCCTTGATTTCTTTTTTTTTTAAGTGAAAAAGAACTACACCTTGCTATAGTTGTCAAAATGGGTAGGGTAAATTGTTTCCTCCGCAAGAGAAATGTATAACTATGTCTAGAACTGATCATGGCATTACATTTTGAATTGTAACCTTGTATAACATTTAGTATTTTTGGTTCTTGATCATCGATTGTTTATCATTTTGTAGCCACAACGTTAGTCGATCTTAGTCTTGTGATTCTAGGGCCCGACTGCGCCCGTGGTGAGTCTTATCACATCAAGTTGTTTATCTTAGCCATAGTTTATCAAGAGTACTTAAGTTCCGAACAAACCCTATCGATAGTCATGTCTGGCCGGGTTTGTCTACTGGCCTTAGTCTGTATCTCCCACAAAGATCCTGTTTAGGCTTCTAGTTCTCTAAACTTTAGTTTCTATTGATTATTTCAAGAACTTTGTAGTTCACTTCTGAAAGTAATCAATCTTTATTTGTACTCAGTCTTACTAAAGAAAAATTACAATTTCAATGAAAATATCAGAAGTAAAAATTAGAGTACTAGCTGCCTGGAATAACCATAGGGGCTAGCGGAGCCAGGCAGCCAGTTAACATCAGTATTGAATAGAAATAAAATACAGGTCAGCAAGAAAACTTGAGCACAAACGCACACACAAGAAGAAAACAAAGAAGAGGAAAAACGCTATTTCTATGCTGTATAGGAAGTCTAAAATAGTTTAAGTTATATATGAATACAAAACATTAAGATAAGAAGAGCACCCAATAGCTAACTAATGCCATAGCGAAAGTCGCATAAAAGTGTTTGGGTTAGTATTCTAAACGGATGTTTAATCGTCCAATGTCAGTTTGTCCGTATGGCTGAGGGTGGCAAAGGCGGGGTACCAATCACGCATCATGCTGATTTTTTTCTATGAAATCAGGCATCACGGACAATTTTTTTCACCGATCACACGTCACGTGAAAAGAAGTAAGTATATCGCCAATATTACTTTCTTAACCCTAAATGAGCGTTGTTAAAAGAAGAACTCTGCCGATTCAACCACAAAAATACATCGGCAAATATGTGACCTCTCACGCGAAAACGTTCCTCACGGTATCCGTTCGAACGGCTGAACGTACGGCAAGTGAACGGATAATTTGAATAACGATGATCAATTTACTTGTTCCAAGATATCTTAAGACCACTTGGTTCTACATTAGTTGATAACCACTGAATATAATGAGTAATGACTCTAGAAACGATTTAATGAAATAATGAGATGTGGGCTCTGTAGGTATATGTGGGGGATTAATGAGATGTAGGCTGTGTAGGTATATTAGGGGGATTAATGAGATGTAGGTTGTGTAGGTATATGTAGGGGGATAAATAAGATGTAGGCTGTG